AAGAGCAAGCTAACTCAACAATGACTGGTCAGATTTGGTATTTGGGATAGATATTCAAGGTCCCCAGAGGAGGCGATGGACGTCATTCCCTGACCTTTTATTCAGTGTTCCAATCAGTATCCAGTCTCGGAGCCCATAAGCTATTGGTCTGATGACAAAGCCTCTGGTGGAAGCAGCCAATATTTAAGAAGATCTGATGTGGCAAGTGGATATTTTGGCCAACACTTTTTTTTCCCGTGCATTGGACATTTAGCTAATCTCTATAAACAAATATCTTCATATGAATGCAGATACATTGGGGGAAAAAACAGCTAGCAAAAACCCAATTTCAGACCATAGCTGGTGGGTTTTGTGAGCCAGGGGCGTCCTAGCTTCCTACCTCCAGATAAAAGTCAAGGGCTCTTTATCCATTAATTGATATTAGTTCAGGCAGAGCTTCTGACCTGAATTTAGTAATGTTAGATTTGACTTTTGAAGCTCTGTTGTGTCATCTTCTGACTCTGTTTGTGATCTCTATGTGATGCCCTTTTAGAGCCAGGCCAACATTATTGTAATGCAGCATTAGTAGACTAGCCTTCGAAGGAGACAAGAAGGCAGGTGAGTACAGGGGCAGGTGAGCATCAATTATTCAGGGCCATTAAATCACCCAAAGAACCTCATAAGTAGTGATGGCCAAATGAAGCCTCATGAAGCATTTTCTTTATTTTCTGAGCCCACTAGATGGCGCTCATGGTTTAAAGAGAGAGGCTCAAAGAATGGCAATTCAGTGTGCTTTCAACCTTTTGTTGAACAAAAAGCGCCATCTACTGGGCTCAGAAAATGAAGAAAATGCTTCATGAGGCTTCATTTGGCCATCACTACTGATAAGGAGATGGCATAAAAGAGTACAGAAAACTTGTGGGAAGTGCTGTATACAAGAAAAAGTCACGATACACCAAAAAGTAAAATAGAGAAGTGCTAAGTATCGGCCATTTTCAAACACAGATGCCAGTTTGCTTCCACGGCTCCATTCACCACGCTAACCTGCTCCTTATGTGCTAAGCTTTGGTGTTCATTTATGATTACAGTCTGTCTTCATGTATGTGTTAAGTGGGGATTAGTTCTCCCAGCAGTCACCATTGCTGTTCAGATTTCTTAAGAGTTCCCTTGAAGAACAGAGCCTCTGCTGTAAACAAATTGCCATAAATGGTCAAGTCCTTGATGAGTCTGTAATTGAAACGTAGCCATGGATATCTGCGCTGTATCAAGAGTATAAACCCCACAGCATTGTTTGATTGTTCCTCTTGTTTCTGGTCACAAATGTCTCACGTGGAAAGCAAAGGTTGTGCTTGAGGTTTTATTGGTAGATATTTGGTATCCAGTCGTACTCGCAACAAATTACCACTTAGTTTTAAGACATTTTAAATTGCAGTGGACTGATTACCTTGGCATTTGGTGATCACAATTTTAAATACCAGTATGAATTTAGTAATGTCATATAATGCCTTCATGAAGTCAGCATTTTCAGCGAAACAAACTTCAGCATGCTTGTTAGTACGTCCAAAGGGCCTAACAAGCCCCTAGAGGCTACTTGTGAGGCTTCGGGCTCTTAGGCAGATTTCCTTTTTTTCTACAAAGACACTTCCAGTCAGAGCTACTTCACTAACCTTTAAGCCACTGCATCCCCACAGTGTTCATATGGCTAGATCTTCCCCATTTTATCTGATGTACAACGTGATCCTCGAGGTGTAAGAAAGCAGTATGGAACACATTGCCTATGCCATGCAGTGCTAACAGTGGGGTGCTTTGCATTAAGAATCACAGCGGTTCCCTCGCTCAGCATGGATTCTGTCTTTACATTGTATGCATGTATATTTCATGAGCATATGAAAATGTAAACTTCGCTTGTCTCACTGTATTTCTTTCCCTTGATGGAAGTGTATAAAAAGATGAAGATATCTTTGCCATCTGTGATTCATCAGCACTGCTGCAAAACACCATGGCTGAATATACAACATTTAGACACAATAAGTTATACAATAATCTCCTCCTTCCTTCGTTCTTTGTGCTGCATTAAGACCAGTGGCCTGATTAGAGTGCCAGAGGCAGGCTGGTGCTTTGCCCTCTGTTTGCCTCCACATAAAGAACTGTGTCATTGCTTGCTGCATTACCCAACACAGGCAGAGGTTTAATTTTGCATTGTTCCTCGTCTATCTCTCTTGCCTTCGCTCCCTTTCTCTACTTTGCCTGCTTTGCATTCTGAATTCACTGATTAAGTAAACCTGATTAGCCGAGCCGCCGCTGCCAAATTCACACCTCAATTCCAAAGAGGATCTCTTTTTTTCCCCCTCTCTTCATTTTCCATTCCTCTATCTTGTCTTTCAAACAGATGAATGGAAGATGAGATTTGACAGGCCCATTTTTACCAACACAGAGGTAGTTTCCTGTTTCCAAGGTTTTCACTGATGAAGGCTGACTGCCAAAATTAAGAGACCTACAGTAAGACCAATTTGCAGTATAACCTGCAAAATGCTACCCTGTCCCCGCTTAAACATCACAGGAATCATTTGTGAGGCATCTGGATTGTTTTGCTTTAGGAAACAGTAATTCATAGTGGTTATTTTGTCTATTGTTCTTCTGTACCATTTTTTCTTTGTCCCATTTTGCTCAAAAACACTATTCTTCATATATCAATAGATGATTAATTTTATGCAGTATACAGATTTTGTGCCTTACTTTCTTCTACACTTAATTAACGATACCAGCCTTTTCATATATCAAACTGTGTAAAGGTCTTTGTACATGGGTGCTTTTATTATTGATAATTGTTATAATTTATGAATTGATATTTTAATACCATCCTCATATAAATCCATGGTATTTGTATCTCAGCCCATGTATATTGTGCCAACTTCACAAAATTCCAATATGATTTACATATTGCATTAAACTCAATGGAAGCCCATTCTGTCTAATTGTATTTAGACCTGCATATTATGCAGACTCTGTTGATATTTCAGAAAACTCATATTGCATGCTGATTACCTGTACATAATTCCATTATGATGACATCTACAGATTTTGAGTTACTATGTAATTTATCAGAGGCTGTGGAGGCCAACTCAGCCCCATCGTATTATAACTCAGCACCTGTATACAGCACAGATTGCAATTTAAATTGGTAACTCTTGCACACCCATAACTGTGAACATGTTCCCACTTCAGACTTGTCAAGTACAGCAGCGTGGTCAGCGGCCCTTTGCTTATGATACTTTATGCACCCCTCTAGCGTCAATTCTGGATGCTCAAGGGCACCATGTCAATTTTGTACTTGTTACGTGCTGCATTGTCTTTTCAAAATAAACTTCCACATTCACAGGAAATGTACATTTCCTCATCAAAATTACAGCAGGTTAGGTTTTGAAAAAAAGATCTTGGTTTGGCTTAAAATAAGTAAATCTAGCCCCTTTTACACTGCCAGATGTTCAGATGTTGGGCTGTTATGCCGGCAAGCTGCGAGCGTTTAAACACACGGAGCCGGATTCGCTCTGTGTGTCTAGCCCAGGAGAGCCCAATCAGTCTTTTTCAGCATTGGCAGTATAAAAACAAAATCGGGGAGTGCAGCAAAATGCTGCCTACCTACTTTTGTTTATACAGAATGTGCCTTTTTTCGGGGCAATGGGAGGCGTGAGCAAGTAACAAAACGTGTAGCTCAGCGTGTGACGTAAACAGTGACGTGGGAGGGAAGCCGCGGCTGGTCAGTCCTTCGGTGATTCTCTCATAAGTCGGCCCGTTCTTCACCGTCCCCGTCATCTGACGGTTAATGGCCTCTTCGTTTGCGAGGACAAGGAGGGCGCGCAATTCCTTGTCTCCCCAGTTGCTCATCTTTACAGTGTCTGTCAGGTTTGTGTTTCCCTCTTGCTACTAGCTGCTCGCTAATTCCTGCTATCAGCTGTTTCCTGTTTATCCACCGCCAGTGGCTCGCACGTGCAGCGTCATCAACAGCTCCTCCCACAAGTCTTCAACAGCTCCTCCCTTGGTGGAAGGGCGCCTCGTTCTTTTTAAACCAAAAAGGTTCCGCCAATATGACTACCCTACAGTACGAGGCGGAAAATTGGGCACCTTGGATCAACTCGCCTAAATGCTTGCAGCTTGCCGGCAAAACAGCCCAACATTCGCTGAAAGTCTGGCAGTGTAAAAGGAGCTTTTGTGTATGCGTTGGCAGAATGGGTGGAGGGCAATAAAAAAAATGCAGATGTGCTTGTAGTTGCTTGTAGTTCAAGCAACAGCAAAACTCCCACAAATGATTGCTTTTGTGTCGCTGGGGCATCAAGGCACTGTTTAGATGGAGGGAAATTTACCATAGTTCATTTACACATTGTTTTGATACAGAGCTGGTTGAAAATTGAGAAAGTAGCTCTTTAAAGTCTTCCATCAGTCTGTTGTCTGTCATTTCGCAATAATGACCTGCTTGCTGTACATTACCCTTCACATACCACAAGAACATTCACGTCTATGGAGGCCCATTCAGTTCCATTGTATTAGCACTTTACACCAGAAACTCCACTCAAATTTTTAAATGCTCACTCTTGCGCAGTGATGTATTAAAAACAGTATTTCACTGTAATGCATCAAAGCCTATCACTGAAGTGTTGTAAAGCTCTCACTCTTTCCTTTAGCATACCACAGGCCTAAACCTTACATTCAGATTTTATGTGATAATAAAGTCATCCAAATTCATGCCAGTCATCAGACATAGACAGCTAGTTTTACATCACTCTCATCTCATTCTGTTTTTCCCATTTGTGTGTCTCTGGGTAGTTGCATAAAAGAAGGCCTGACTGGTTTGGAGTAACATTTAACATTAATATCACATAAAAACTGATAAAGCTCACACAAAAGAGAGAAACTTCCCTCCAAGTTGAAAACTGGGCCAGTATTTGGCGTAGTCAGAACTCTCTCCAGTCCGCTCACTATAAAGCTCAGTATGTTACCAACCAAACAGATGGAATCCCCCAGTGTTTGAATTTCATCTGTGAAAATGGTTTATTTAAATATTATTCTGATATTGTCATTATAATACAAACTGTTGCAATGTTCCAGTACAGAAGCCTCACACAATACCAAAGAAAAGAGAACTATAATTCATCAGAATTTTTGACAGCTCAACAAACAGACAGGACCGCATTGAAATGAAATACATTAGAAGAAACAAATACATCTAGAGTGGATGAGTAGCGTGGCATATAAAACAGAACAGAAGAATGGCTGTGTTTCTGCGCTAACATCCTGGATGAAGGAACTGCTGCTCTAGCCGTTATTGTGAACTGTTCTCCTCTTCAGTAAGAGACACCTTGTTGCTTGTGAGCAATCAGGCCTCCATCAAAACTCAAACTCACGACTCCTTTTTTTTTACCAAGCGTCATTTTTAATCATTCCGATCACAATATCAAGTGAGTCATCACACCAATCTCCCCGTCTTTGTTATTCATTATGTTGCAAGGACCCACAGTTGAGCGAGTCCCCTAGATTAGGATGAAAGCTTTATAAAGGAGATGTTTCTAATACATATAGATATATTTTTTTGTCAAATACATTTTACCCAAGTTCATTTTGAAGAGGTGAAAACCCACTTTGGACTTGTTAACACTTGAATATGAGTACATGACACCATTGTTACAAGTACAGAACATCACTGGCCTCTGCCTTTTTAAATGGATATTTAAAAAAAATGTTAACATGCTGATTATTTCATTTACAAGTTGTACAGATCTGTAACTTTTTACATGAGGGTTGGACAAACTGTCCACTCAAACTGTGCACACATTTCCAACAGAATCAACATCCAGATCCCATTCTCGACACCTTAAAATAAGCTGTACTTTTTTTTTTTCTGCAAACTAAACATTCTGAATAATATTACATAACATGTTCTCATTTCAAAACACAGAGATCGATTTCCTGTCATAGCAGAGTGGCATATATATGACAGTGATGCTAGATTAAGTGTCCAAATACACCCTGAAGCTATTTGGAACTTGAGGGATTAGACAGGGTTGCCCTCTATCGCCCACACATCTTGTACCCAGGCTGGAAGCTGCTGATCAGTAGATGTCTCTGGTCTGATCCCAAAGCATGACAAGCACTGCCAGCCTTTGAACCTTGGTGCTGAATCAACAAGTTTCCCTCCACAGTTCTTTGGGAATGCAGTACGACTATACAAGGGGGGGATTTTTGCTTTGTCTGCAAAGCGGAATAAAAGCTCGAAGGGTGGTGAGTATTTCGCTTTTTGAAAACACACAGCACAGTTATCGTTGGCAATTACATGTATGTTATGTATGAATGTTAGATTATACCATACGACACATGAGAAACTACATAATCATGCTTCATGTTAAGTTGCTGTAAATTTTGGGCATCAACTGAGCAGAAAAAATAGTATGTGCTTCGGGGTCAAGTGCCTACCAAAATAAAATATTGATCTCATTGCAGGGCAACTGCTGCACTCTGGCAGCATAGTACTCAAGGTGGATAACATTCACTTACAGGATGACTCAGGAGACATAAATCGACTACTCTATTATTTATAAATATTTCAGTTTGAATTGGAACATCTGCATTTCTGATAGATGGTGCACACTTTCCTCTTCAGCTCAAAAACAACAAAATAATCCCAGTTATTTAGAGGTTGTACTGTAGCTGTTGTTGCACTGTGAAAGCAAAAGAACACCTTTGTCCGTGTTTGTGTCAGATTGTCAAAGCGTTTTGCTTATAAATGCTCTGCGTGGATAAAAAATCTCTATGATATCATCTGAAAATAAAGCTAAAAATATATTACTGTAAGATATAAGAGTCAACAAAACTAACTTATTTCTCCCAAACATGGGTCATATACAATGTGGATGATAGGCAAGTCTACTCTCTGTGTTGCACTGCATCTCAACCCCAACCCTAACCCTAACCCTAACCCTTGCCACTCAAACATCTACCTGCAAAATATGCACAACACATACTAGTACTCATGTTCCAAAGTGGTAAATAGGCTACTCATTCATCCTCTGTAGTAAGACATACCAGGGAGGTGCAACTGAAGCATGCCATTTGAAAATGGTGTGGGTCAATTAAAATGAATCATCCAATGGTCACATATCAGGATTTTCAATGACTCATAAATTGTGACATCCTTTTTATTCCTACTGAGGATGCAATACAAATTAAAATGACAAGGGACATTTTTTTATTCACACCAAAGCTAGCACATTAAAATAAAACTAAATTGAACATACTGTAACACTGAACTCCAAGTGTTGAATTGTGTAGCTCATAGAACTTATGTTCCCCTCTTTTAAGCTGTCAGACCAATAAGCATGCACACCTGTATACAGTATGTATCACTAACATGATGTAAAACTATGCACATTAGATAATTTAGATGGTCAGTATAGCCGAAGAAAAATGAGAACCCTTTTTAACCGTGTGGTTAATGTTAACAGTCTAAATTAACGTGTACTTTAATTTCTTCTGTTTCTTTGCGAGGGCCTATTCACAATGAAATTCCATGGCCAATATGGTGAGTTTCAGCTATGTATACAGCACATACAGTAATTCTACGTGTTTCAAATAAAACAGATATATATTTAGAATCATATATATTACACAAATATAGATTCTCCTTTTTTCTTGTTCACTTTTGAGCAATAAACACATGAACTGGAACAGCGAAACCATAAGAAAGTCATTCCTCCATGAGAGTTATCCAACAAGATACAGAGTCCGTTTTTTCGCACCGGAGCGTTGCACCTCGGATGGTGTCAAGTCGACGTCTGTACAAAAGGTAATCCAACTGGTTTAAAGGTGACAGGTGTTTACAGTGGCTAATAACAATGTGCTGGGTGCAAGAGCAGTATAGTGGCAGGGAAATGAGGGCCAACTGTGCTGTCCGCATGGTGGGTGGTGGGGGTGGGTGGGGAAGGGATAAAACAGGCAATTTTCTCGTTCACTTTGAGAGCAAACAGAGAGAGAGAGAGAGCGAGATCAGGGCACAGACCATGTCAGTTCTTCAAATTATAACAAGGCATCCCTCACCAAACCACACGCCAGAACGAGGACAGCCAGTCCATAGCTGGATGATATTCTTGTACCTGAGAAGAGAAGAAAAAAAGGATAAGAAAATGCTCAATGAAAATTACACTTTCTGATATGACTGTTGCACAAACAATGCACACAAGAAAAAGCCAGAGAACCAGCAGTTGCACTGCATCTACACTAAACCAGTAGTCCAGGCATTATTTTGGGGAAAGATCCCGGTTCTGGCAAACATGGATAAGATATGTTTGGGTCGTTGTTAACTTTTAGTCAGTGATAAGATGCAACCTTTCATATGCTTCTTTCTCACCGTCCTGTCCAGAGAAATGAGGGCAACAGCACCCTCAGCAAATCCCTCAAAACAAAACAAGACTTTCATCTTGGCTGTTCACAAACCTAAACCCCTTCTTAATTACTGTAATCATGACCACAAGATCCCCTGACCTTAAAGCCAGGGTAGGCACTTTGTTTTGGCATCACTGGACAAAAACACCATAATAACCTTTGGGCATATTGTTACTGAAGTGGTGTGGATGACTTTGGCCAATCACAGGTCATTTCAGAAAGAGGGCGTTCCTATTGTCTGTTCTACAAATGCAGATGTGCATGCACGTCACTTCAGATGGTGAAAGTCTGATTCAATGGAGAAGAATCCTGCAGAGAAAATTGCTAATGCAGCATTCTAGCAACCAAAAAAAGGAGGATGGACTCATCAGAATGAGAGTCTACAAGAGAATCTGATAATAACAGAAATAAAGTACGTGCCAATATTAGCAAAGCATTTCAGAGGTGGAGAGAAAATACTGCTGATAGTTTAGCCTTCTGCTTCTGCCTCTTGATGTTCATGTTTATTTAGCTAAGGTTAGCATTGCAGGCAAGCTGTGAGCATTTAGACACACAGAGCTGGATTGGCGAGTTGATCTGAGGTGCCCAATTTTCCAACTCGTAGGGTAGAAATATTAGAGGAACAATTTTAGTTTAAAAAAAAAAAGGCGACCTTAAACAAAAGGAGGGGCTGTTGAAGACTTGTGGGAGGAGCTGTTGATGACGCCGCACGTGCGACCAACTGGCGGTGGATAAACAGGAAGCAGCTGATAGCAGGAATTAGCGAGCAGCTAGTGGCAAGAGGGAAACACAAACCTGACAGACACTGTAAAGATGAGCAACTGGGGAGACAAGGAATTGCGCGCCCTCCTTGTCGCAAACAAAGAGGCCATTAACCGTCAGATGACGGGGACGGTGAAGAACGGGCCGACTTATAAGAGAATCGCTGAAGGACTGACCAGCCGCGGCTTCCCTCCCACGTCATTGTTTACGTCACACGCTGAGCTACACGTTTTGTTACTTGCTCACGCCCCCCATTGCCCCGAAAAAAGGCGCATTCTGTATAAACAAAAGTAGGCAGCCGGCATTTTGCTGCACTCCCCGATTTTGTTTTTATACTGCCAATACTGAAAGAAGACTCATTGGGCTTTCCTGCAAATTTGCACAATTCCTGTTTAAAAAGGGCTAGTGTGTGCTCCATGTCACTCCCCGCTGCTACAGACCACCTCGCAGAGAGGAAAGTGGGCAGCAGCTCCTGAGGCTGACCCACAGTCACTGGACACAGCAACTCAAATCCAGCCAGAGATAACCCCAGCAAATCATACCCACAGAGCGCTTGAGATTGCCAGCATATTTCACAATTTCATAGAGGCTCATCACCGTCACCAAGTCATTCAAAAAGCACTACAAAGAGAATCATATGCTTACCTTTACTGTTTATTTCTCTTAAACAGCCAGTAGTACATGGAACCAGCCATCACCCTCCTTTTCACTGCTTCGCTGTTAGTTAATGCTACTTCTAGTTTCAGGGTCTCAGGCATGTTATGTCCACTCACATTCTCATCTCTCGCCTCTCACGGATTCCCATTTCTCCTCATCATCTTCCCTTTCTCCCAGTATATAGGACTACTGTATACATTTGTTCAATTTCAATCATTTAAGCTATTTAGAATTGGGGGGGACAATTTGTGTTTTTCAGAATTTGGGGGGGACATGTCCCCCCCGTCCCCCCCGGGATCTTAACCCATGCTCATGATTCAACTCTCACTCTATCATTCTTTCCACCTCGCCTTATAAACTGCACATTATTTCATGCAGTGGTACAAAATGAGTCTAGATGGCTCTTTATTGTGTTATCTAACATGTGGTTGCCTGTTTGTGTTTCACCGTATTCTGCATCCCAAATGCTCCACCATATGGTTTCATTAAGTTTGGTCCATAAGGCTGCAGTCACCTATAAAGTCTGTGAACACTGCTTTGCAGCAGAGCATGAATTCACACGCATACATAGCAAAATATATCCAGATAATTTCTTTGTGTGAGTCATTAAATTGCTTTTATCACTATGGCAAACATTATTGGACCATTAAACATTCATCCATCTTGTGACTCAATGAGTTTCAGTGAGTTATTGTATTGACTTTGCTTTGATGCTGTCACAACACAGAAACTGGGAATGTGAGTTTCTTATTTGTGCGTGAGTGTGAATTTCAATGTAAAGATGGTCATGCCTCGATTTACATATTCATCTCCTCAAGCACATACATCATGCCAAGGCTGCTCAATGTGATCGGAGTTAATAGCACCCGGCACATCATTCATACAAACTGTCAGTGTCTAAAATTGTCCCTTAGCTTGTGATAATTGGACTACAACTTCATATTCTCACATAAATTCCACTATCTTTACTAAGCAACCACAGTAAACTACAAATGTAACCCCCCCTTCAAACAGCCTTTGAAGTGTTTTGAAAAGGATTTACATGGGCAGCTACTGTTGCCTTGGCCCTGACAAACTGCTATCACCACTGCAGACAGCTCTGACTGTTTACTGAGCATCTGACATGACTAACAACTGCAAACTAGAACACAGCCTCCTCAGCCTACTCTTTGATTTGCCTGCGTCTCGGGGACATAGAACCAGAACAGATGAGAGCAAAGTAACCGATGACAACTATACAATCCTATGCAGCAGAATTCTGTGGACAAAAAAAAAAAAAAAAAAATTTACTCTCCATCGGCAGAAAGAGAGAAAGAAAGGATTTGAGGAAACTGAAAGGAGGGAGAAGTGAGAAACAAGAGAAGTGGGAAGTTGTAATCCTGTGAAACAAGGCAAGACTCGACAAATAGAAAATGAAATGTTCCCTAAATCATATTGACATTGACTGGATTCTTGTGTCAGACCGGGCGATGGTTCTAAGAAGGAAATCATCCGGGGGGACACTTTGTACCTTGCGGTGCAACTCTGGATTGTCTGGACTGCTGGGGATTTGGGGATGAAAGGAGGGAATAGTAAGGGGGGGGGGCAGAGATGGAGGGCTTTGACCCTTTATTCCTCCCTACCACATCTCATTTGGCTTGAGGTGATCCAGAGAACAGGAGTGCCACAGAGGAGCGGCAATCACTCTGGGCCAAAACATCCTTCACACAGAGAATAATTAATCAGCCTCCAGCTACGAGTCAGAGCAAGACACAGACGCAGAGAGACAGAACATAACACTGTAGATGGAAAAATATGCACTAATTCACTAATACCAGGCTTCTGACAATCATCTGCTCAGCGACAATGTTAAAGATGTGTGACTTAATTTAAAATACTGAAACCTCTTCATTATCTCGGGATGGATATGACCTTGTCCCAGTCCCCCTGTCTTTTCTTTTGGCTACATCAAGTGTGACACTCTCAGCAGTTGCCCAGCTAACCAACCCAATCGCCAGAATAAATGTTGGCATTGTACATTCCTGCAAAGCACAGACATGGTACATTTAGACATTATGATGTGGCAGATAGAGTGAAACCTTTTCGTTTCTTTGCACTTCAACAATGCTGTCGTTATGTTTGGTTAGGTTTAGGCACAAAAATCACTTGGTTATTGTTAGGAAAAGATCATGTTTTGGCCTAACATATCCACTTTTGGCGGCACAACCTGGAAATGCAATGATGTCTCAGTAGAAAACAGATGTGTTTACTGGGCAGGAAACACAGAATTACTGCCATGTGCATCCGCAAACCAGTCAAGCTGCACTTCCAGTTTACATCCATGTCTGTCCAGACACATATGTAGCAATGATAGCAGACAATGCTTAAATATTGATGCTGCTGCAGAGACATTACATAATCTAAAACAGGTCCAGTCATAGGGTCCAGATTTCTCCTTAGTTATTAGTTCAAGGTCCACACTGTTTCATACATTCAGTGTCATACTTGCAGTTGGCCATTTTGTCGAGCAAATTTGCTGTGTCTGTCAAATAGCTGCCTGTTAGTCACTCACTCTACAGCAGGAAACAGCACTTCAAAATAAAAGCTCTATGCCAGAAATTCCCTGTGCCCTGTTTTTTACAAACTTGACACTCTCATGAGTCACTTGTGGTGCATTCGGAATGGAAATGCAACCCCATTTGGGCCATGACACAACAGTTGGGAACCACTGTTCCCATCACACACACAACCCAACAGCACTGAAGATCTAAACAGTCACCACAGTTTCAAGGTGGACACCCAGGGTTGGTGTTACAGATTCAGTTTTTGACAAAATGTGTGACATTGCATAATGGCCAGAAAAGTGTTTTTGCAGAATGTCATGATGTCACGTAGTACATAAATTCACTTCATTATATCCCATAAGACATTTGTGTGAAATTTTGTCATATTTAGTGTATTCATTCTTGAGTTAGGGCCAAAAACATGTCTGTGAGGTCACAGTGACCTCTGATCAACACCATCAATGAGTCCAAGTGGACATTTGTGCCAAATTTAAGAAAATTCCCCTAAGGGCCTTCACAAGAATGAGATGAATGCAAGGTCACAGTGACTTTGATCTTTGAACACCCCAGTAGATGAATCCAATTGGACCTTTGTGCCAAATTTAAAAGGAATTTCCTCATCGTGTTGTTGAGTTATTGTGTTCACAACATTGAGACAAACCAAGTCACAGTGCTCATAGGTCAAAAATCAAGGTCACTGTGACCTGGTTTGTCTCAATTTCCTCATCGTGTTGTTGAGTTATTGTGTC